TTTTTTCTCCATGTCCCCTTAGGGGCTCCGTAGAATACTACAGCTTTGTAATGTTGCGTTCGACATATAACTTTTTCATAAAACTGGTTAGCTTCTCTATTATAGACAAGTTGCGTTTAACGTAGCCTTCACAGAGCCCATGTTGACGCCGATGTTAGTTAAACATAGGTGCTAAAATAGTTTTAGCTCAAATGTTAACTCTGGATAAATCTGCTTGATAAAACTAATCTGCTGTAAACCCGCTGAAGGATGCTCAAATGATATGGCGATATTTGGACTGTCTTGGCCACCGTACATAAAAAAGTGCAGTTTCAGGTTGGTCTGTTTGCCTTGTGTAATCATTTTCTTTCTGGTTCGTTCTGCATCGACTTGTTTTACTCTGGAAGCCCCTGTACAAAAACGAGGTAGAGCGTGTGGTTTCAGATCCGATGAAAGGGTTTGATTTTCAGCAAACATAACATTTTTGTCGTTTCTGGGGAAAGTTTTGAACACTGAACATGTCTGTGGTCACGTTGAGCATAAAGATGTCAGTAATAACTCGTCTAAAACCAAACTACAGTATGTACAGTGCAAACAGGAGCATCGATACCGCTGATAAAGTGTAAACAACACGTTTTACGAAGCTCACAAACACGATTTACCTACCTGAACGCTACAAACTGGAGCTACGCGATCAAGTCATGCAGCTGCAGTGTCGAGTCTGCAGGCGTCTTCAGTAAAGAGTAGAAACGATTAGAAAAAAAGTCCCGCTTCTTCTCAACATAAAAGTCTGAATGCGCATGCTCCGAAGATGAAGAAGCTGGAAAACTCCAGAAATCCAGCAGCTCTCGTTGTTCCTCCATTTTAATGAGATACAATCAGTCCGCCGTGTTCAGGCAGGAGAAGAGGAGGGAAATCGCTCGGTTTGTCCCAGTTAAACATTTTAAGGAAACATTTTTGAGATTAGCCGTTTATCTGAGATGTTTGTGTTCAGTTAAGAGCGCAGGAGGAAGTTATTCCTGGTTTTTAGTTTAGTTTTCTTTACTCCGATATAATAATTTGGTTGCTTTTTCTAAGCTAAACACCTAAATGAAAACCGTTTCGGTAAAGTTTCAACTGTCAAACCGTCACCATGGCGACAACCCGGCTTCTTCTTTAATGGTAGTGGAGAAGGTGCTTTACCGCCACCTACTGAACTGGAGTGTGGACAGGAGGTCAACAGAAAAAAAAACTAATGCTGTAAAATCAGCTTAATAATTCAACTAAATTCTCTTTAGTAAAAACAGCCCGGCTTTAAAAAGTCATTTAGCTTCCAACTGAGATCTTTTTGTTTCCTTGGCAACCATTCCTGTCTATGTTTACAGTTCGCATCCACTCGTCATAGGCAGGGAAGTTGTCAAACTTGGCCTTTTAATGATTTAAAAATTTGGAGAAGAAATTTTTATTTCTTTGTTTTTTCAAATGAACAAAGGCCTAGAGGTACAAATATACATCCATTATGACTTAGCTTTGATGATTTACTGCTTTTTCTGGCAAAATTAGTAGAGTTAGTTATAACTGATGGGTTTCTTGGGAAAGATATGACTTTTTAAGCATTTAATGGAAGCTTGTACCATTTCTGACGTGTTTTTGGGATTATTAACTTAAATGCGTTTCTGTGTCTGTTTCAGCCTTTTTGCTGAAACAAGGTGAAGTTCAGTAACTTCTATATTATTAATGAGTGCGCTTTATGAAATCTACTGTGAAGTTGTTTCATTCAAAATTAAATAAAATATACTGTTATTATTAGCACACCATCAAATATGTACATTTCTCCATGAAATACAGCTAAATAAATATAGGATTATATTTATTTTGTTACTCAGATTAATTTATTTAACAAAATAAAACCCCATCAATAAATAAGTAACTTATGATTAACAAAATATTTTTTTTCTTTTTTTTTCATTTCATGGGGACATTTATCTATTTGATATGGTATTTATGAATTTTTACTAATTTTTAATTTTAACAATTTAATTTATTACATTGTAAGTAAAGCATTTATTAATACACTTTCTAACATGAGTGTATTAAAATGTTTTAATTAAAAGGAAAATTAGTTTTCACCATAACCTCAGTAACTGGTTTGAATTCAGAGTTTTAGGACTTTATTCATAATTTTGTTTCGTAGCTCAAACCTGAACTGACCGATGGTTTAATGCGTTACGTCGAGTTAAACCAGATAAAATTGTGTATTTTTGCCTCCAGCTCTCAACTGAACACATTGACAAGAATAAATATCTAAGTTGATCTAAACCAGGCTGTGTTTGCCTAGAAATGCTGAACGTCTCCTGTAAAGTAGTCATGAACGAAAGACCGCTGAGTTTGTTAACGTTTCCAAACCCGCGGTCCTGCAGCCGGAGAACGGTACAATCAGAGAAGCAAAGTGGAAGTTTTTCTTAAATGAGATCCAAACTCTGGACGTTAACAGGAAGAGCCAGAAAACTGAAATCCAGAGGCCTGCTGCCTGTTTACATTACTGTTTTTACAGGAAAATATACTCTGAAACCCTTTTTTTGTCACTCAGATCTTCAAGCTGAGCCGAAACTGTGAAAAATAGCTCAACCTCCATTTTCTCCTTATCTCCAGGTTTACATTCATTCCAGGAATCATCCACAAAAATCCTTATTTATGCTTAAATATGCATCCAGTCATGTCTGATATTAGCTCTTTTGGCTTCTTTCAGTCCTCCAAACAACCATTGGCTTTAGCGCCGCTGTTAGCTAACGAGCCAAACAGTCCAGTGAAACTCCAGCAGAGGCGTTTTTAAATTTACACAAACGTTAGTCAGTTTGTTCCCAGATCACCAACTGGGATATCAGTAAAAAACGACTGGAAGGCGCAACTGTTGGGTTTGTTGTTGTGAAGCATTCACTGGCAGGGGGCGGCCTTGGTGCCAGGCTCCGCCCCCGGCGTGAAGCCGTTGCTAAGGCTGTTGGGACTGGAAGGCGAGCCCAGCGGCGGCGTGGCCTCGCCTCTGTGGACCGACTCGATGACGGAGCAGCTCTTCTGCGGCAGCCGGGGTTGGACCAGCATCGACTTGGGGATGACCGACGCTTGTCGGAGGCCGTCGGCACGCAGCGGCGGTCTGACGAGGGCGGGGCCTGTGGGTGAAGCTTCAGAGCTGGGGGGGTTGGGGCTACAGGGAGGGGAGGGGCTGGCTGCGCTCTGATTGGCCAGCGTGGACTCGTCGGTCTGGGGAACCTGCTGGTCGGGGGGCGGGGCCTCTTTTTCATCGGGGGCGGAGCCTGCTGACTCGGGAGGCGGGTCTTGTTGCAAGCTGCTCTGCCTGGACGTCCCTGAGCCAGGCATTTCGCAGCTGTCGGTGCGACGTCGGGATCCTTCGTGCATCCTGCTGGTGGCTACAACAGCCTTCATGGCAGCCTGAAACGCAGCATGACGGATTATTAAACATGCAGCACGATTCCCGACCTGGAGATAGGAGCGCTAAGGCAGCAGCCCACCAGGTTTTGAGTTAAAAAATATTAAAAGTTACATTCATTCAAAGGAGCACAAGCAGGCATCATAATTAGCGTGAGGTCAGTATAAAACCTGCATAAAAACTCTATTTAAAATAAGATGAGCCTGGTGGCTCACCAATAGCATCACTATTAGTTTTCCCTGCTTTCATTTCACATTTTCAGTTCATTTATTGCCTGTTCTTTAGAAAATATATTGTGTGTTTATCTCTCTTTAAAAATAAGTTCCTAGGTCTCAATGAGATTTAACTTTGTAAATATATAAAGTATTTTAAAACACCCAAAGGTTTTTGAAGCCGTTATACCTCAGAAGTAGCTTGTTTACCTTAAGTTTGCGCCTAGCGTTGAACTCCTGCAGTTTCCTCTGAGTCGTGTCCATGTGGGAGAAGCGGGCGGCTTTGCCCAGAACCCAGGGGTGCTGCAGGGCCTCCCGGACGCTGAGGCGTTTGTGAGGGTCCAGAACAATCAGCTTACTGACCTGCAGGAAAAACAACAACAGATTCTCAAAGGAAAGGCTCAAACTTTTCCATCCATTTAGTAAAGAACAGGAGAAAGGCAGCAAAACCCAGCAACATGTTTCATCATCCCTTCATCTGGATATCCAAGGCCTTCACACACCAGGGAGGAGGAACATTTTCCTAGAGTTATTGTTAAACTATGGTGCCCCCTAGTGGACATGGGAGAATTGTTTTCTTTTGTTCCCTCGCAGTTATGTACAGTTCATGCAGCAACTTTAGTACTCAAAGTTTTTCTGCTCCAATGTAAGATTTTTCCACATTTGGTAATATCTTAGATAAATAATGAAGTCATCTGA